CCAAACCGAAGTGTTAGTTTATTTCTGGACAGTACTGCATGCAAATAAAAGGTAAGAAAGTCTTTCTTCTTTATATAAAAAAATTTATTTCTATACATTATATTATAATTTACAAATATATACAGTCTAGTCTAAATATTAGGTCCTTTTCTGTCGAAATGTCAATATTTTTTAACATTCCTATTCATGTCTTCTTTCTGAATGGCGAAGACAGCAGCAGAATAAATCACGAAGTCTTTGACGAAATTTTCTTCTCCCCTTTTTATCTGCTTTAACATTCTTGTTCTTAGTCTTAGTTTTCTTATCTGCCGCCTCCTTCGTGCTGGCTTTCTCTTTTTCCTTTTTGCAGGTAATATATTTCCTGTTTTTCTTTGTCATAAAGCCACTACTACTTGTTGCAACAAATTCCTCTGCAAAAAAGTTCAAGCAAAATACATCAGGTCGCATATAGCCGGCGTAAAACTTTACTTCATACGGACACATCTCTTAAGCTCCTAGCCCGTAACCTATGTGGGAAATTCAAAACATTCGCCTCACCCAAATTTCAATTTATCAAACATTTAAACTTACCAAAATGGTCTTCATGATCTTCGATTTGACATTTCCGATTTGACGTTCCTGGGGTTTCTGACTCCATGACATTTCCAGAAACGACAACGTTATGTCTGTAATAATCGTCATCATCGTTTTGGTTTGGTATAAAAACGTTTGCATATACGTGAGGAACAACTGGAGGCCTTTCACCGTCGGTTAATTCACTCTAGAAAAACGAAAGTCATTGTTAATTATTTCCAGTATTCTGTTTCAAACCTTTACTACCAGCCTTACGATTTTGTACGGCGTCAGATGCGCAACCACAAAATTCGATTGATGCCGCAACCCTTCGAATGATGTTATCATTTGGGTGACCATACCTAAGCAGTTAAGGGGATCGAGTGCAGTTTGTTGGTTAACAGGAAAACAATAAAGAATAGGCATTATTTCATTACCTCATCGCCTGTATTTCCTGTATTTTCAATATTGTTCATTTCAGGAATTATAACATCTGAATATCGAGAGATTGCCTTCTCACTGATCACTACTGGATCATTCGTAGATTCCTGTTTCAATGGCAAAGCACTTTCAAAGTCAGACCGAGGCTTCTCGAGATATGAAGAAGCGGCGGCACTCAACACCTGGGTGGGGTCAGCCTCAGCACCCGGCCCGTCGCAAACGTTTATCTCTTGTACACTGAGACTGGTCTGACTACAGGATTGAACACAGTCATTGCCGCTGAGGCCATCGACGAATTCTGTCTCGCCGGTAATTTTCGTTTCACTTTCAACTGTCTGTAATTTAGTTTCTTCTCCCTCACGGCGAAGTGTAACGATAGGTTCAGGAGTGGTCAGCAACGAAGGTTGTTGATCAGTTTCATTGTCCAGCTCTCCAGCATGAGGACATTCGCTTTCTGATTTCAAAATAAATAAAATATATTTTAACATACGACCACGGATACGACACAATTAGCGTTTCTCACGATGACGTTTTCGGGTTTAATTTTCTGAAATGGGTTTAAACATTATGATTTAACATGAAAAGCAATTTTTTTAGAATCAACAGACCATTTGAAGAATAAGACTGTGGCCGTTAGGAAGTCTCACGCTTGCGGTTTTGAAAAAAAGGCGAATTCACTTGGGGAATGAAATTGAAAGTTAACGTTAGCGCGCGCGAGTCAATGGCGCGAGTTTACTGGCGCGCGCAAATTGCGAATTGATGAGGTAGTTGCTAGGCAATTAATTATTGCTAGGCAACTACTTTGTTTGCCTAGCAACTAATTACAAAAAAATCTTATTCAAATGAATTTGCGTAAAATATACGCCGTAAATCATCGCAAATCTGCAAATTAAATTAATAAAATATTTAGAAATTTATTCTTACCTTCTCCCTGGTCTTTCTCTCCACTATCTTGGAGTTTGTTGTTGTTCATTTCCTCTTCGATCAAGATTTTTTTAGCGTTGTTTATCAAAGAGAAGACGTAGTTTTGTATTTGTAGAAATTCTAGAAGCGGTGGCTGATACTTTCTTCCAGAGTATTTATCCAACCGATATCGATTTTGATTACTCGCCATTTTAAAAGAATTTTCACGCGTAAAAAGAAGTGTTTTCACTTGCGCAGTCAGTCAATTATGACAAAGCTAATTATTGCGTCAAATCTTTTTACGCCATCGCGTCCGCGCAAAGCATTGTAGCAATTAATTATCGCACTGACCGCAATGAGATATAAAAAAAGGCATTTTACTTATTTTTGACTATTCCGCATTGCTAAACAGTATTTCTTAATATCTAATGTGAAAAACAATTTTCTTCAGTGAACCCAACTTGAATTTTCGTATTTGCATCAATCTAGGTAGGATGTGCATGGTAGATACAAAATTACTGACCCAAATGTTTGAGGCAAAACTAGCAATTCAACCAAGGCAACATTTTTAATCCCCTTGTTCTAAGATCTTTTTTAAATGCATCAGAAAAAGACTTTGGGAAAGATAAACAGGATTTTACACAATTTGCAATTTTGCAATGGCTTTTTGGAAATGATGAAAGGGCGATGAAGCAGCAACAAACGACTCTCTGAGGTTCGTAGGAAACACACAACTTATAGTTGTCAATGAGATACGATGGCGATGGATCGTAAAGTCAACTGAAATGGCCGAACTCCATGAAGGGAGTCGTGCTGCGCGAAGGTATAATTTTCTTTTTATATTCGTGTTAACCAGCCAGTGTTATCTCGTTGCCTCATCGTTGCAAGTTAACAATATTAGTGTCAACAAAAACGTGTTATTCACTATTCTTTTCTTTGTGTATATTTTTATCATTATCATATTATCATTCTTTGTGTAAAACTATTATTGTGTTCGGAAAATCCATGATAAACGAATTAGCGAAACTAATTCTCGTCAGGAAAATGGTTAGTATCGGTATAGCTAACGATAAGTAGTTAACAAAATACAGCTACTGTGCTGGCGAGCAACGCGAGCTCCATCAACTTCTCCAGGCCCTTGGTTAAAATCTTATAGATGTTCCGGTGCTACTAAAAGGCTGCAGTGCAGCGTTTTAACAAAATTAATGGATGATGAAATTACCAAATGACATTTTATCAGTTTTACATCTAGACACCACTAACGATGCGACCAGGCCACAAAGGGTCCCAAATTACATCAGCGAAGACGCCCTGGCTGAGCTTGGATCCCTCACAGAGGTGATTAGAAACGTCATGGCAGATACTTATACATCAATATTCATCTCGACTACAAATATTTAAGCTAACGGGAATGTGTCAGACGGTTATCCACTCTTGCTAGGAGATTTTATGTTATAAAGATCTCTTAATCCCTTGATGATCCAGTTATAAGAAAAATGACATGTCGAATTTCTTATCGAAACTCATCTGCCCTAATTATGGTCAAGTGGAGTCAGTCCATATGTTTAACTTTTTCTTTTGCAAATCAGGAGTTAGTTAATGCTGCAAGATGTGAAGCTTCCAATGCAGCATCGCGCTCAATCTCGTTCGCAAAGACTCCTTCCGCGACACTGAGAGATCTGCGAGCTAAGAGGGAGTCAAATCTGCAAACATCTTGCCAGGGCCTCAAAACACCACAAAGATTGCTGGGCGCCGAGTTTGTGGCCTGGATCACCTACTGTAAATTTGCCAAATGGTGGCTAGCAATTTAGAAACATATCTTGTGTGATATCTTGTACGAAATGACATTTCTTACATCTAGACACCACCAGCGATGCAACCAGGCCACAAGGGGTTCCAAATTTTATGAGCGAAGACGTCCGGGCTGAGCTTGGATCCCTCAAAGAGGTGATTAGAAACATCATGGTGGGTACTTATACCTGAACAGTTCGTGCGAACAAGACTGAGGTCGGATTTTTTTCCTACAGACTGTTGTCTCAATGCCAACAAATAATATTGTGTGAACCTGCAGCAAAATTGTATCCAGAGCTTGACCGGACATAGGATCCGTCGTTCGCTGAAGATCGTATGTCACGGTATTTATCTACAGTACGTTAAAGCTTTGTCTCGCAATTTTGTCTTGGGCCAATTTTCTGATGCGCGATTTCATTCTGCTCACATGATCAATATGATCAACTCCTGTGTGATCGCGTACTAAGGAAAGTATAAGAGGTCTAGAGACTAGAATGGGATATTTCATGGCTGGGATTGGCTGGCACATGGGAACGAGGATAGATCCCAGCCAATCCCAATCGCACACGCATGCCATACGCGAAAACCCGGGAACGAGATTGGGACAATTAGATGGGATGAATAATCGAAATTAAATTGAAAGCGAAAGAGGGTGGCGTACTTGTAAAACTTGCTTGAAATCGTACAATTTTGTGATCTACAATTTACGAATCAAATAATCTTGGTAAGTATTATTTGAAAGTGAAATATTTATATTAATTGTAAATGTACTGCGAATTATAATTTAAAGATAATGTTCAGTCCTGCTTTGTGCATCGGGGCTCGCAAATTACAAAACTGCCTTTCTAAATTGTTCGATCGAATGGGAATTTTCGCTAGATTTTCTTTTCTATTGTGACCGGTCAATTTATCTGGGCAAAGGAATTACGATCGAATTCGCACAATTGAAATGAAAATCGGACGAAAAATTTCGTTCGATCGAAAATTTATGCCTTGTGTCGCAATGGAAAACCGCCCTTCTCAAAAACTTTCGCATTTATCGGATTTTTTAGACACAGACTCTAGTTCATATTCATTTATACCATATAGTGAAATGATGTATGAGATAAGCAGATAGTTTGTCGTATTTCAAAAAATATAAAAGTTCAAAATGTAAACAAAGGGCCTGTTAGTTTACATTATAGGACGCAGTAGTATTATCATGGGCTTAACCAGCCTTTTATGCGCATAATAATGAGATGAATAGTTTTTTAATGAGTTCCAATATAACCAAAGAGTAGCGTGGCAACGTCTTTAAACAACTTAGCATCAAATGTGGTATAACAACTGCCTAAATAGACAAAACACTTCTCAGCGACGTTTCGACCTTCATCAGAAGAGTTAGTATGGATACTTACTCTCCTGACGAAGGCCTTCAGGTCGAAACGTCGCTGAGAAGTGTTTTGTCTATTTAGGCAGCTGTTATACCACATTTGATGCTAAGTTGTTTTTTAATGAGGTGAAATTATTCAAAGGTGATTTTAATTATTAATAGTTATTTTATAGTTATTTCGTTTTCCGATGGCAAAACAACGAGACGTTTCTGACCCTGCGCCATTTTGTTTCGCGATTGCAAAACGAGAAGAGCAGCTAATTTTAGATTTTTTGAGTGAAAATAATGCAGAATTAAGTATGAGCACTTTGAAATTTTATTTGAAAGTGATTTAGGAAAACAATGAAAGTCATATAGATATTTGATTTGTCGTATTGCTAGAAATAATTTGAAAATTTATGTTTAGTATATAAAGAGTTGCGACCTTTGAATTTTGGTAGAATTATGGTCTATTTGGCTTTAGTTTATAAATTAAAGGATTTGTGACCGTGAAACATTTAGAAACGTTAATTAGGCAAGCTACGAAATTAAACCGTCTTGGTTTCAACGGGTGATATTTTGCCGTGGCTAATAAAAAGCAGCGAGGTTTGAATATCCATTTATTCTTATAAAGTAATATGTACATTTGTGGTGGTTTTTACATTTTTTCTTCTAACCATAGCCTATTAATAGGCTTCTACTCCACCTTTGGACAATGGTGGTAATCTTCAAATGACCAGTGCATGGTTACCACAGGTTTCTTTCCGTAATAAACCGTCCAATAGCGCTCTTGTCTTGGAACAACCATAATCTTCGAGGTTCATGGAAGGGATGCCAAGATTATTCAGGACATTTTTTTCCCATTGCTCCTCTTCAGTGTAGGCAATTGCGGAATATCAGTTCCGGGGTAGACTGTCATAAATGTCTTTGATGACCTTTTCGAGCATCGATATATAGGGGGTAGAAAGTACATCCCGATGGGACACTTTTGTCTTTTGCTGTCAGTTCACTCCAGCATATACCGTAGACCAATGTCGAAAAAGAAGGAGTTTGCCGAGACCTCGCCAACTTTAAAGACACCCAGTTGTTTACAAAAAAAAATCCGTTGATAAGATAAGATTTGTATAATAAAGGCAAATTTTCCCATCTATGCTCCCTCAATTGCCACTACATGTTGGTGTTCAAGAGTCCAAGGGATCAAACCGTTATTTCGACACTCTTAAGTACTTATTGAGGCTTATAAAGATGCTACGGAAAATGCTATTTATAGACATACATCCGCAAACAGATGATAAATGTAGACTACGTATAAAAATATTTCTTGATGATTTGCAGATTGTTTATATCTTTACTTTCCACACGCAACAGTTTAACCCGTGCTGGCACTTCGGTTTCTGCATGTAGCTCAAATCTGTCATCCCAATGGCAGAAGTTACACGGGTTTTTAAAAAACGGCCTCCCAGAGATGCGTTTACTTATATCCCTCACAACTTTCACCCTGGTCGATCTTTGGTGGGTGTCAAACAGCGGATGAATCGCGCCATTTGCCCTCACATCATCATATAGCCGTATCAAATAGCGAATGATCTTGCTCAGGGTAAAAGAATTCGCAACTTTTGTCTTTTGGGGTTGTTCTTGTTGCAAACCCAAGGCCTTCCCTTTTTCGTAGAGATTGAAGACGCTGGCATTCCATGTAAGCACTGGAGCCATTGCTGTGTAGTTGTGTTGATGACAAGATCTCTTTGATGTGCTGGATATTTATGTCCCTCTTATTTTTTAGGACGAACATATTAAAACCCTTTTTTTGCAATCTAAGCATTATCAATCTGACTTCTTGTCAATTTGGTTTTCTGACTTTTCATAGTACTTCAACAGCATTATTGAAGCTACGAATAGTTGGTCTATAAATGTTGATAATGGCCTAATCAATGGAGTTGTCTTTATTGATTTAAACAAGGCATTTGACACAATTGATCACTAAATAGTCTTAAAAAAACTTAAAAATTACGGAATTGAAGAAAACACTTTAAGGTGGTTTTAATCTTATCTTACTGTCTTACTAATAGAACCCAGAAATGTCGCGTCAATGATCAATTATCAGACTCTGTTCCAGTCACCTGCAGCATTCCACAGGGCAGCAATTTGGGACCATTATTATTTCTTGTTTATATTAATGACCTTCCAAATTATCTTAATTATTCAACACTGAGAATGTTCGCAGATGATACAAGTGTTAGTTACGCGTCAAATTCTGTTAATGAACTCCAAAATGTCATTAATTCGGATCTAAAAAATCTGAATAGCTGCATGGCTTATTTCAAATAAGCTAAGCTTAAATATTACTAAAACTGAATTTATGACAATTGGATCTCGGCAAAAAATGGCCACCATAAATTATGAACTAGCGATTAAAATAAGTGACTATGAGATCAAAAGGGTTACCTCTGTTAAGGCCATAGGAACACATAATTATTGACCAACATCTCAGCTGGGCAGTGCATATTGATAAAATGTCTAAAAAGGTTGCGTCAGCCATTGGTGCTTTAAAACGCGTAAGACCGTTTATAACAACTGACACATCTATTCAAATTTATCGAGCATTAATTCAACCTCATTTTGACTACTGTTCCTTGGTCTGGGACAGTCTTGGTGAAACACTAAGCTGTAAAATACAAAAACTCCAGAACTGAGCTGCAAGGGTCATCTTGAGGACTAATTATGATGCCAGTCCTTTCATTACGACGAAAAAAACAAAAAGCTAAGTTAGTTTTCATGATACAAAATGGTAAATTGCCCACTTATCTACAAGATCTTTTTTCTGTTCACAGCTTGGACTTTAATGTACGAAATTCTGAAATGAAATTGAACTTGCCCAAGCCGCGAACAAATTATCTGAAACGAAGCTTTTACTAGAAAACGTACGAAAGCTTCAATGTTTCTATCACTTTAATTAAGAAAGCATAAATAGGTATTTGCAAAACTAAAACGACTCCCACAGACCCACACGGCAAACCTTGTCAAGCAGTAACAACTAGTAACTTATTATTTATATTTATATGCTATAACTCTCTGTAACTGGAGATTTTGCCGTGTTTAAGTAAAGTTTATTGTATTGTATTGTATTGCATGTATCACCCATTTAGGACAGTTTAATATCTTAACTTACTCAACTCTACATTTAAAACCTTTTAAGATATCTTTTTTTATCTAGTGTTTTTAATACATCTTAGGAACGTTGCGATCATGATATTCAAACTATCTGACCGCTTTCTAGACACAAAAAGTTTTATTAATTAGGGTCAGTACCCCGAGAAAACAAAAGGGGTCGATTGGCCTATTTTATTGTTTCATTGTTCTGTTGTACGGTTCCCTATAATTTATGAATATATGCAAAACCTTTTTCGTCGCTTTTCTTAGCAAACTAAAATTCTCATTCCTCTTACTTTCGTGGACGATAACTCAAAAATTAATAAAGCTATAACCGGATAAAATTTTCATGGTTGAATTTTCTGGCTGGGCTCGGAGTTGAACTAAAAGTTTTGTATTCCGTTCAGTCTAAGTAAAATAGCGACTGGTTATTTCAGATAGATCGTAGAAGTTTTATATTTATAGCCTGAAAATGTTGAATACTGTACAAGTCTTATTTACTCTAGTTCAGCTCTAAATAAAACCAATTTCGTCGTTATAGAGTTAAAACCTAGTTTGTTATCATGTTTACAAAAATCGTCTATTTTCCACTGGTCATTGTGCATGTGCTTGGGCTTTTTTCGCTCAGAGCAACTTGGCTTGCAATATGCAAATTCATACTTGCAAATTTTTTTCTGTAGTGGACCACCGCCTGTGATAATACTACGGACCCTACCACTTAACACATATGTCGGACGTGAACACACCCTCAGCCGTTCAAGCATTAAATTTTATACGGCGAACGTGAAGCATATACGGCAAAGTTGCATGAATTTGCTGCTTTGCTAAATACATCAGAAATAGCTTATTGCTTTCTTACATTACTGCTGAACATCACAAGTTTTATGTAGAACGTTTGTAATTTACCAAAATACCGCACACTTAAAGATATTGGAGTTAAAACAGAAACTTTGTTAGCGGTTTGGCGTTTGCCGTAATCGACAAACTAAAGGTCTTTAGTGAAGCTAGGATTTGGTATTTCATACCAAGTGCTTTGAAAAGCTCTTCTTTCGCTTTATTTTTTAAAACCAATTCAGATAGTGCAGGTGTGCTGTATTCCACAAATTTGGATTGTTTTATGAGATAAAAGTAAGGATTTTTGGTCATTTAGCGATATTTTATCGTCACCTTGAAGTTGTTCGCATGGCATCCATGTTGCTGAAAAAATGGCTGGACTACGCGAATCCACGCGTATTTTTGCGTACTGATAATAAAAAAATGTGCCTGCGCCATCGATTGCTCGTACGAAATTGACGATTTTCATTGGCTAAAATCGTAAGAAGGTGACAATGTAATACGATATCTTCGGCAATCGTTGCCGAAAGTTAAATAATTTTAACTTTCGGCAACGATTGCGAAACGTATCGAATTACGATTGCGTTGCCGCGCAGGATATGACACACGGGTAACGTTTTACCTCGTGCTGGCAGTGTGATAAAATTTGACCCGTTGCGTTGCCAGCGCGAGAAAAAAATTGCCCGTGTAACCTAAACTTTAACTATTTGACCTTTCGTTACAGACAAAATGTCTTTAACTGGAATACTACTTGACGTTTCTGGTTCCATGAAGGAGAACATTGAAAGCGATATTAATGAAGAAAGCACACCGTGGGCTGAATCTATTTTCAAAGTTATTGATGATCTTATCAAACACGACCTGTCTTCTGAAAATCGTGTCTTCGCTGTTGGTTTTGGTGCAGATTGTCAGAACAGAGAAATCTTTGATGTTATTGGGACGATTCACCAACTCGGTAACATGAAAATGCCAGCCTATCATGAAGACAGTCGAGCTGAGGAGAGTAAAATCAATGAAGTCTTTAACATTCTGGAAAAGAATGGTGCTCGCTCTATCCGTAAGTGGGCAAAGGATGTGTCTCTAATTCAAAAAGTAGTGTCTGATGTTATGGCCTCACTGATTTTGAAAAAACTTAAGACAGATGAACAGTTTCTCAAGGAATTTGTTTACGAAATTTTACCAAAGGCTTGTCGAGACATCGCTGACCCTATTACGCAACGAGACCCTGCTACACTGGCTGGACAGGTCTTAACAACAACGGCTTTAGCAGTAGTCTTCAGCCCTTTTCTCGCAGCAGCGATGGCACCGGCCATATTTTTCCCTGACAAAGTTGAAGATGTAGCTAAAGTGGGTGCTAGCGCATTCAGAGAAGCTACGGAAAAAGACATCGAAGAAATCGTCGAAAAGGTAAAGTGCTTATTTTTGAAAGGCGTCTCGAGCAACTCCATCTTCAGTGTAAAGAATGCCTCTAACATTATCCGTGGATATGTTGATGAAAAAGAACTTACGAAAGAGCGAGCGCAACAATTGCTTGAAAATGTTAAGCCTTTTATTTATGGCAGAACACCGTTGTATCAGTCTCTTAAAGAAGCTGTAAAGTTTTTCAAAGAAAACAATTCCGAGACAAATAAATTGCTTTTCATCGTATCAGATGGAATCCCTACAGATGGCAGTAATAAAGATATCGAGAAGATCAACCAAATTACCCGCAAACTAAAAGAAGCAGACGTGAAAGTTGTATCATCTTTCATCACCAGATCCAGAGATATTCAACCAAAGCGGTTGTACGATACTTTGGAACCTTCTTGGGAATCCGGAGCCAAGTTTCTGTTTCGATTAAGTTCTGAAGTGCCAACACAGCTTTTACCACGAGCAATTTTAGTCAAACAAGATTGGAAAATCGATATTGCTAACAATGAAACGAAATTGTTTATGCAAGTCAATCATCCCGACAACTTAAGGTATGTGTTATCGCCTCCGTTATCCCGGCTGGATCCCAAAAATACCAAAACTCCCGATAAAAGAGCACTCTGAACAAAACTGAAACAAAACTGATTCTTTAACAATGTTATATATTTAACACAAAACAAAGAAAAACAAACACACAATCAAACAAACCCTTTCTTAAGCGTATAATTGAAAAACAACCACTCGAAAAAACAACAAGTCAACAACTCAGTGATTTAAACCGATTTTCCATGCCAAAACTGGTAAAACTAGTTTTTCTTAAACTCGCGCGACCAACACGAAATTATTAATTTCGTGGGCTCCTGAACAATAATTAGAGATTGCGAGGTATTAACACAAAATGGAACCTTCGGAGGAATCGGTTGTCAGAGTATGTTATAAGAGTATATCTTTTCACGGTCTAAACAGTTTTACAACAACTTTTTTTGAAAGAAAGAAACTCGCTTGTAAAATAGGTGCACTGGGTTAGGAGACAGCATGACTAATCACATGCATGAAGATGTTATATGATTATATAGATTTTGTTGATTATATAGACTCCTGGTATTTTTTTATAGAGAAGCTTGCGAAATGGCTCAAAATGTCTGTTGTACTGAATTTTTATCTGAATTGCTGGTATCGATTGATCTTGATATTTATATCAACCAAACGACGGGTGGTTTTAAAGCACAGAAACAAGAAGGAGGTACCTGTTACGCGAATGCATCCGCTGCAGCCCTGCATTTGGCAATGCATCGAATTCTTGGTCGAGAAGCAGGCTATCCTGAGTTTAACATGTTGAGAAAGGAAATGATAGATGCGCATGGAAAAAAAGGTGCTAACACTGAAAAAGTTTTGAAGGAAATGTGCTCGAAGTATCGTTTGCACAGCAAAAAGGTTGGTATCACGAAAGCGAAGGAAGCTATTGTCAAGAAGCGCCCAGTGGTAGCAAGATTTTCTCTTACAGATGATGAATGGCATGAGTTTTCAGAGTTCTACCGCAATGATCCGGAGGGTGTGCTCACGCGAAATAAACTTGACAAACGTAAGCGCCCCAAAAACGCACCCACTCGAGGCCATGCTGTTGTTTTGACCAGTTACAGCAGCAAATGTTTGATCTTGATGAATTCGTGGGGAGAAGAATGGGCCGACAATGGTTTCTTCAGAGTGCAAAATGCAGAAGTTCTTCAACTAGAATTCTTTGACGTTTACTGGACGTTGAATGACCTGACTGAAAGGGAGAAAGAGTATTATCGAAAACATGGCCATGAAGTAGCTCAAAAATTGATGGATTCGTTGAAAGGCTTGCAAAATGCAAAATACACATGTCCAGAATGCCACGAAGAGTCATTAGTTACCGAATTTACCGGAAAGCTGACAAAAGTCCAGTGTCCAAGATGTTATGAAAATTTTTCGACCAACGACAACGCAGGAAATATTCTGGCACTAAACATGTACTTGACCATTTTAAGTAAATAACTTTGCTCCGCTACTGCACTGTATTATTGTTTACATGTATTCATAGTTATTAACCCTGAATGGGTTCTCTAACGAGCCCCTTGGTCCCGAACAATTCGTGAAAACGGGACTGAGGTCTGCATGTTCTTTTCTCCTACAGACCGAGCAAGCTGTTAACCTATATATCCTTTCTTGTATACTCATAAATTATAACTCAAGGCCAGACCAGGCCAGTATTTACATTTTACAATAATTTGCACGTAGTACTATTGTAGGAATCAGTTAGAATAGAGAATTTTTTGTATTTTGATCCTTGCATGTTTACAATTATATTCTCTCTGCAACTAATCAAAGTAATTTTAAACAATTATTTGCTCTTACGAAGGACAAAAATTGAAACCATAGGCATAGGCGGCGTGTTGGGCAGCTTCCACCCCCCTCTTGAAATATTTGAATCTAGAAAAGTTTATCAAATTTTTATTGAATCTAACTAAAATCCGAGGTAAGTCGGGTCCGTACGCCTATGATTAAAGCAAAATCGTAACCACGAGTAAAGACCCTGGGTACGAGATTGTGAATAAAGCCGATTTTATATGTTAACATAAAGTTGTAAGTTGCAGAAAAATGTGATTATAGTGTTGTGTGTTTGTTGTAAATATATCACGTTGTAAAATCACTGTTGTAAATAGTCACGCATGCGATTGTAAAATATGGACATATTTTACGTAGGCGTAAAGAGAAGATATGAACCGGTCTTGTATCGGGATTTTAGTTAGGTTTTGGCAGTAAATAAGAGTGGAAGCGATCTTGTTTTCGTTGGCATAACAATAGTTTTGGTTAAAACCGAAAATGTCAACGAATGCGCTTGTTATAGTTAAAACGAAATCACCTTTTTGTTATATATATAGACATGCAAAATAAAGTAAAACTAGCAAATCTAAATTTAAGCGGTCAGACTGTTGTCTCAATGCATATCAATAATATTGTGAGAAACTGCAGCGGCTTTACAACTTTCCGAGTAAATTTGGACAAATCAAGATTAACATGGTTGTTACTTTAATTTATAATTTTTAGATACTGACATCTGACATGAACGATTTAACCTTTTTAATTGAATAAGCACAATTCTTGTTAGAAATATTAATTTCCAGATAACGTGAGAAATTTGTCGATGATGACTGGCAATAATGTTGACAAAAAAGTATTCATTTTGATGATGTATTATGTATTTTTAGGTATAAGTCACAGCAGTTAAAGCACCACCTACCCATCCTGGGACAAGGTGTGTCACCATGAACACTGCAACAGGATTAAATTTATCTTCACCAGCATATACAGTCAATGACGGATACATAATAGGCTGCAACCATTCGTAAAACTTTTGGGAATCTTTAAACTTCCACATTGTATATTTATCAGAGAAATCCATTCCAAAACTCCTATTAAGACATGGCTTTTCCTCCAAGTCATGTTCCTCCTCCTCTTCATAATCTGAGCTATCAGACGTATTATCTGGAACTAGATGAAAGGGTAATTTGTTTTTTTCGTAACTGCCCCTTATCATTAGGATGATTGGTATAATTAGCAAATATTTCTGGGTGAAAATGGAGATTCGTATGGCAGTTCAAATGGTGTTAGTATAGATCTTGCTTGTCCCATGGAAATAACACAGCACATAAGCCACATATATCACCATTCCCTTCATTTGCTGAACATTGGCTGCCAAGAATAAATCCAATTCTTATCCTAAATTATCCGTTTTTTGTTTACAATGCATGTTCGTCCATCATTCCAAGTCAAGTTGTTAACGTTCAAGGGCGTTCTTAAAAAACATCAATCAGGAGCTGGTTGTATAAAAAGGTTGTTAACTTTTAACTATAGTTAGTGGCGAATTAGCCAATCAGAATCGTGTATTTTCTAGTTAACTACTTCATACTAACTCTCCTGACGAAGGCCCTCAGGTCGAAAGGTCCAGAAGTGTTTTGTCTATTTAGGCAGTTGTTATACCACATTTGATACTAAGTTACTTAAAATGTAGTTAAGAGTTTTATACAACCGGCCCCAGAAGTGAATTGGATCCAACAAAATAGATCTTTTCGGTCATTACGTCACAACATTATCGTTTTAAATTTAGAACCACCTTAAATGAGATGGATTTCAAGTTTTACTCTCACAAGCTATGTGGAAAGATGAAAAACATCCTTTTATAACCCATGCATGAAAAATAATTTTTCATATTGACAAATAAGTGTATGGAGATAAGCCATAACGCGGGAACGAGGCTCGCCCCTCTTGGTTCCTCAGCCTTATTCTCCTGTTATGGCTTATTTCCACATTTATAGGCCAAAACAAAAAAAAATTGATGCATGTGTTGAAGACAAATGTTCCATCTTTGCCCGTGGCTCGTGAGAGTATAAAACTTAAAATTCATCTCATTTAAAGTGGTTCTAAATTTAAACGTTGTGACGTAATTACCGAATTATATTGCCCAAAGTAGGAACTAAATGTCATTAAAAACTTTTTTGCACACGTTGCTGGTAAAAAGGAATTTTTAAATCTGTCTGAATGGATCCGTGGGAGATCATATTCATGGTATCTACGAAGATTGAAGCTGGAGCCATGTCTTGGCGGTAGAAGGCTAGAGAGTTTGTGCGACGATTCTGAAATTCATTCAAACTGTTTATTGCATAGTTGTTGACGCCTTTTATATAAGATGGATAGACCGAAATGACTCATATTAGAATCGTAGGTTTTACTCGAGTCAATAATTGATAGTGACCTCTTTTGTACTCTCTCCATGTCAGCACTCAAGTACTGCGGCAAAACATGATGAAAAACAGGCGAGCAATATTCCAGGACAAAAAAGAACAAACGTTTATTTGCTTTCTTAATGGACTCCGTTCCACAAAAGGTTGTTTGAGATTGTGAGGCCAAATACTTTTGCTTTGTAGACAACAGGAATGCGTTCTCCACCAATTGTAATCGGATCAAAAATTTGTTTATCTAGGATGGCGTAATATGGCTCGAAGCGTTATTAATGAGGTTCGTCATCAGCTCCAACTTATCTTCACAGTTAACGAGTGCATGAGTCAATGGTAGACCAATTTATTTAGGTAAGGTACCAACCAAGTTCACGTTTACTACTTGTTCGTGTGTCTCTTCCTGTTATTACTTTCCTACCTGGACATTCGCGAGAGGACCTGATTTTAGGGTGCAACGTTATGGTCGGACAAACCAAACAGGGGTAAGATTTGTACACTATTTTTCTCGTATATTTGAGGTAGATTGGTCAGAACTAGATCCAAAATATGATCGCCTCTAGTTGGGGAACGAATAAGTTGTTTCAGCCTAAATTGGGTTGATAGTCGGCTAACATTCAAAGTTGAAACGAAAAAATCGCCTGCAAGGAAGATACCACAACCTGGGTAGTTGCCTTCGATACTGATGAGAGTGGTGAGCTTCACCATTTGGGTATACCTGAAATAGCCTTCACCACTGGCCTTCACCCACTTTCACATTTCGACGCCATCTTGGAAAAACTGTTAAATAAATTGCCGCAAAAATGACATACGATTATTGTTTTTGCACAATAAGCCTCGTTTCCATGTTGCGCGAAGGCGCGGAAACTACGAAAGATAAAATCAATGAATTATTTGGCATTCTGGAAAACAAGTACGATCGTACTATAGTGGACCAGGAACTGCGTAACCCGAGTTTAGTTTCTGAACTGCATTGTTTTTATAACAATGGAGAGGACAATGTATTTCTAGTCGTTTGCGTTTACTTATATATAGGCTGAATATTAATGATATGTATATATTGTTTGCTGCAAATATATCAAGAATTGCTTGTAATTTTCTTCAAAGGTCAAAAGTAAAAATTCGAACTCCGTCAATCGATGCGGAATATTGCTTAGAATAATTGTGCCAAGTTTCATTCCGATCAAACAAGTAATGCTAGAGCCTTAGGGTTTTTTTAAAGAGCGTCGCCCCCTAACAACAACAACAACAACAAGATTAGCAGCGGTTAGGGACCACTTCCTGGCCCAAGAATGGTGCACGCAATAACTGTAAGTGGGCAAAGGATGTGTCTCTTATTCAAAAAGTAGTGTCTGATATTATGGCTTCACTGATTTTAGAAAAACGTGATACAGATAAAGAGTTTCGCCAGAAATTTGTGTCTTAACGTAGGCAGCCCGGTTACTAACGTCATGCCAGGGCATATACGCCCTGGTAATGCTATCTTCCTAAGCGAGCTACTTATTAATAAAAAGAAAAGCAATGAGAAGTTGGAGGCATAGTCAGGAAGACCTCAGAAATAATGCAGTAAAACCACACCTACTGGGGCCGGTTGTTCGAAAAGTAGCTTAAACGGTGAATAAGCCAAAGTTCAAAAATACTCTCATAGATCTTATGAATGCGTTTAATATGTACTTCCATTGAAAATTAAACTACCAGCATCAAAATATTTCAGCTCAGTTATTCAGTAAATAGATAATTTTGTTTTCCATTTTGAACTTATCCACCGTTTAAGCTAAACGACTCTCAAACAACTGGCCCCAGTACTGTCCAGAAATAACCTAACAAAAAGCACGGTTAACCTAGTACAAACCTCGGTTACACCAGGGTTAAACCGACTCAGGTCAGACATATAGATCGAACCGCAGTGAAACTCGGCCGAAACTAAGTCTGACTGACTCTGACAGACATTTCTTAAGATGTTTTCGATTTGATTATTGTGTTGCCGTTCTCAGCTGTTCATAACATTCTATCGGTCAACGGCAACCGAACCGCAGTGTTAGGTTATTTCTGGACAGTACTGCATGCAAATAAAAGGTAAGAAAGTCTTTCTTCTTTATATAAAAAAAATTATTTCTATACATTATATTATAATTTACAAATATATACACTCTAGTCTAAATATCAGGTCCTTTCCTGTCGGAATGTCAATATTTTTAAACAATCCTATTTTATGTCCTCTTTCTGAATGGCGAAGACAGCAGCAGAATAAATCACGAAGTCTTTGACGAAATTTTCTTTCCCGTTTTTATCTGCTTTAACATTCTTGTTCTTAGTCTTAGTTTTCTTATCTGCCACCTCCTTCGTGCTGGCATTCTCTTTTTCCTTTTTGCAGGTAATATATTTCCTGTTTTTCTTTGTCATAAAGCCACTACTACTTGTTACAACAAATTCCTCTGCAAAAGAGTTCATGCAAAATACACGAGGTTGCATATAGCGTAAAACTTTGATTCATACGGACACATCTCATAAGCTCAAAGCCCGTTACCTATGGGGGAGATTCAAAACATTCGCCTCACCCAAAATTTCAATTTCTCAAACATTTAAACTTACCAAAATGGTCTTCATGATCTTCCATTTGACATTTCCGATTTGACGTTCCTGGGGTTTCTGAATCCATGACATTTCCAGAAACGACAACGTTATGCCTGTAAGAATCGTCATCATCGTTTTGGTTTGATATGAAAACTTTTGCATATACGTGAGGAACAACTGGAGGCCTTTCCCCGTCAGGTAATTCACTCTTAATTATTTCCAGTATTCTGTTTCAAACCTTGACTACCAGCCTTACGATTTTTTACGGCGTCGGGTGCCGCAACCCTTCGATTGATGTTATCATTTGGGTGACCATACCTAAGCAGTTAAAGGGATCGAGTGCTGTTTTTTGGAAAACAATAAAGAATAGGCATTATTTTATTACCTCATCGCCTGTATTTCCTGTATCCTCAACACTGTTCATTTCAGGAATTATAACATCTGAATCACGAGAGATTGCCTTCTCACTGATCACTACTGGATCATTAGTAGATTCCTGTTTCAATGGCAAAGCACTTTCAAAGTCAGACCGAGGCTTCTCGAGACATGAAGACGCGGCGGGACTCAACACCTGGGTGGGGTCAGCCTCAGCACCCGGCACGTCGCAAACGTTTATCTCTGGCACACTGAGACTTTTTTGACTACAGGATTGAACACAGTCATTGCCGCTGAGGTCATCGACGGATTCTTTCTCGCCGGTGATTTTCGTTTCACTTTCAACTGTCGGTAATTTAGTTTGTTCTCCCTAACGACAAAGTGCAACGATAAGTTCAGGAGTGGTCAGCAACGAAGGTTGGTGATCAGTTTCATTGTCCAGCTCTCCAGCATGAGGACATTCGCTTTCTGCATTAATAAATTGATCGTCCAAACTTTCATTACAGAAGCCAGGAAGAGGTTCATCAGGGAGACTTTTATCCACGCTTTCTTCGTGAAGAGATTTCGTTTCATTCTCTCCCTTTTCATTCTCACGAAGTTCTTCGAAACCTTTTTTAAAATAAATGAAATATATTTTAACATACGACCACAGATACGACACAATTAGCGTTTCTCACGATGACGTTTTGGGGTTTTCTGAAATCGGTTTAAACAATATGATTTAACATGAAAAACAATTTTTTTTGAATCAACAGACCATTTGAAGAATGTGACGTGGCCGTTAGGAAGTCTCACGCTTGCAGTTTTGAAAAAAACTACGCCAAAAATGGCGGCATATTAATACGTCAAAAGTTAGCGCCACTGAGCTATATAATAATTCCTGGAGGACCGGCTCCTGGCCAGAAAGTGAAGCAAAAAACATGGCGGATTTCGGCGTTTGCTGACGCCACATGGTCCCCTTTGCCCATGGTAATTACCACTGACATACCGCGATACAAAGTCAAAAACGTGTCCATCACCCTCCCGATTTTTATGAAAATATTTTCGGTTTTCGGTATTGTTTTCGGCATATATTTTCTCCGCATTTCATCTAAAGTCTCTTTTTCACTGTTCAACAAGTTATATGGAGAAGTGGTTTCTTGCTCTACTTATGATGCTGTGAATGGCCTAATTCATCTATCGGGATATTAATTTTTACCTCAGGTAAGCCGGTTTTCACAACATTTTCGTTTTTCGCCTTTGGTATAGACAACTACCAAAGCGTCTGTTGCAGTAATTCCTTTAAAATTAATGTTAAAAACGGCAAATATGCTTCAGCCTTTTTGATCAATGGTACATGACTTAGTTACGCTATGAAAAACTATATTTTATGAAAAAGGATCAATAACTGATCTTTTAAGTTTTGGCTATGTTGTTTTTTTTATTAGAACTCTTTAATATGGGATTTGAAAATGTCAGGCACTGGAGCTTTCACTCATATTTAATGCCAATTCATGAGTATTTTCATTCAAACAATTAAGATAAATCAATATTCAATTCTCCCAGTAAATCTACTAGTCTCTCTATTGATCCTTAGTCTATTTTAGATGAATTTAAAACATTAATCGTGATGACTGTGTGAGTGCTGATACAAAATATTTCACTGTTAGATTTCAACAGTGTTTGTTAAAAGTCCAGTATGCTATCTTGTTTGCCAAGTCATGGCTTTATAGACTTTCTTGGCATCTTGCACCTTGTTAATCAAGCTACAAGCTTGATTCAAGCTTGTTAATTTGCAATGATTTCTACTCCTCTCTGGTTCTGTCCTCAGGGTGTACTCTGTTGAGTACAGTTAAACTTGGTCTGATCTCTTTTTTTAGGATAAAGAGGTTATGAAATTTGGGGATGGCTTTTTGCAAATTATTGGAACATTAAACTGTTAATTTTACCATGTTGACTTTGTTAGTTATAGTTACAATAGTTATCTAAATGAAAAATAAATTTATACAGACATGCATTGACTGAGCAGTTTGTTTTCAATTTGCTGCAACTTTTATAATTTTCTGGAAAGTTTTACCCTCCCTACCATTACAAGGAATATTATCATAGGGCTAATCAGGAATTGAAGGTTAATAGATTATAGACTAATGGAGGAATGAATAGGCTTAGTTGCATTTTCATTAATTCAGTAAGACATTTGTTGATAGCACAACTAGTACCATAATCTTCTTTACCATATATAATCAAACTTTTGTTTTTACCATAGCCTTTCTTTGCATTATCTGGAATATGATTCCACTCAAATTCTTGAGTCAAGCAGGGAACCATTTGAAAGTGCATTACTTGGGATACAGTACTTAAGATATGGGTAACTTATAGCTATAATGACCTAAATTAAAATATCCTATGCGAATATATCTTGAAATACTATTACTAATCAGCCACCCAGCATTTTGCATGAGGTTTGGCCTTTGTTTCCTTGAGTTATGCATGGGCTGATAAGCATAAGCATGATGTTCTAAGGAAAACAACATATAACCACATATTTTCTGCCGGTAACCTTTAGTCGGCGATTGATATCCGAAAGATAATCGAAATTTCCGACAAGACTCGAAAAATATTCAAGTATTTTAAAAATTTTACACAGAAAATATGTATGAATAATGAAAATAAATAAATAAAATAACCCGTCAGCTAATCGTATAAAAATCCTTCGTCCACAATTTTTTTTGCGTTTTAATATTTATTATTTCTGGCATTGGCAAAACAGCGTCAACGACTCCTACATAACTGAAATAAACGCCTTATTGCAAGCCTTTGTAGCAGAAAAATAAATCGAAAAATACAAAACAAGAAGGTTTCACGGCAAAAACAAAAATATTCATCAAAACCAGGGGGGAGCATTCTCTTGTAGCGGGCTCATATTTGAGCCTGGTCAGTGGTAATTACCATGGGCAAAGGGGACCATGTGGCGTCAGCAAAGCTTCTGCGCAAGCGCAGAAGGGCGAAGTCCGCCATGTTTTTTGCTTCACTTTTTGAGAAAAAAACATTAGGAGCCGGTCCTCCAGGAATTATTATATAGCTCAGTGGTTAGCGCGCACGAATTCACTTGGCGAATGAAATTGATGGCTTGATAGTTAACGTTAGCGCGCGCGAGTCAATGGCGTGAGTTCACTGGCGCGCGCAAATGGCGAATTGATGAGGCAGTTGCTAGGCAATTAATTATTGCTAGGCAACTACTTTGTTTGCCTAGCAACTAATTACATAAAAATTTTATTCAAATGAATTTGCGTAAAATATACGCCGTAAATCATCGCAAATCTGCAAATTAAATTATTAAAATATTTAGAAATTTATTCTTACCTGCTCCCTGGTCTTTCTTTCCACTATCTTGGAGTTTGTTGTTGTTCATTTCCTCTTCGATCAAGATTTTCTTAGCATTGTTAATCAAAGAGAAGACGTAGTTTTGTATTTGTAGAAATTCTAGAAGCGGTGGCTGATACTTTCTTCCAGAGTATTTATCCAACCGATATCGATTTTGATTACTCGCCATTTCAAAAGAATTTTCACGGGTAAAAAGTAATGTTTTCACTTGCGCAGTCAATCAATTATGACAAAGCTAATTATTGCGTCAAATCTTTTTACGCCATCGCGTCCGCGCAAAGCATTGTAGTAATTAATTATCGCACTGACCGCAATTAGATATAAAAAGAGGCATTTTATTTATTTTTGACTATTCCACATTGCTAAACAGCATTTCTTAATATCTAATTTGAAAACAATGTTCTTCAGTGAACTAAACCCAACTTGAATTTTTCGTATTTGCATCAATCTAGGTAGGATGTGCATGATAGATACAAAATTACTGACCCAAATGTTTGAGACAAAACTAGCAATTCAACCAAGGCAAAAATTTTTAATCGCCTTGCAGTTCCAAAATCTTTTTTAAATGCATCAGAAAAAGACTTTGGAAAAGAGAAACATGATTTTCCACAATTTGCAATTTTGCAATCGCTTTTTGAGAAATGATGAAAGTACGATGAAGCAGCAACAAACGTCTCTCTGAGGTTCGTAGGAAACACATAACTTATATATAGTTGTCAATGAGCCACGATGGCGATGGACCGTAGAGTTAACTGAAATGGCCGAATTCCATGATGGGAGTCGTGTTGTGCGAAGGTATAATTTTCTTTTTATATTCCTTTAAACAAACGAGCGATATTTCGTTGCTTCATTGTTGCCAGTTAACAATATCAGTGCCAACAAAAACGTTTTATTCACTATTCTTTGTGTATATTACTATCATTATCATATTACCATTCTTTGTGTATTATTATTGTCTTTGGGAAATTCAGGATAAAAAAATGGCGAAACTATTTCTCGTCAGGGTAATGGTTAATATCGGTATAGCTAACGATAAGTAGTTAACAAAATACAGCTCCTGTATTTTATTATTACCTTTAATCATAAATCAACATCAGTTCAGGGGAGCAACCCGAGCTGCATCAACTTCTCTATGCCCTTAGATACAATCTGGTAGATGTCCCGGTTCTACTAAAAGGCTGCAGGGGAGCGTTTTAATAAAACTAATGGTCAAATGGATGATGAGATTACAAAATGACATTTTATTTTACATCTAGACACCACTAACGATGCGACCAGGCCACAAAGGGTCCCAAATTACATTAGCAAAGAAGCCCTGGCCGAGCTTGGATCCCTCACAGAGGTGATTAGAAACGTCATGACAGATACTTATACATCAATATTCATCTCGACTACAAAATTAATATCTAAGCTAACGTGAATGTGTCAGACAGTTATCCACTCTTGCTAAGAAATTCTTTATGTTATATAGATCTCTTAATCCCTTGATGACCCAGTTATAAGAAAAATGGGAAAATGAATTTGCTGTAGTAAAGATCATAACCTAATGATGATCGAGCGATAGCGATTAACCCGAGCTTTCTCAATTTCTCCAGATCCTTGCATACAATCTGGCAGATGTCCCGGATGATGCTAGTTAAGCCTGCAGCGAAGCGTTTTGAGAAAACTAATGGATGATGAGAACGATGGGAAACGAAAAACGATCCCAAAAATTAATGAAAATAAAAAACATACTGTGCTCATAAAACATTACATGTAACCTATGCATATAATATAATACCCTATGCTTTGGAAAAGTGTTAACCCGATTTAAAACTCTGCATTTCTATATGTCATATAGTCTTGATATATGTTATATATTTATATGTTAATCTTTCATAAAGCTCATCCTTAACGTATATACTTTGCAGTTTAGGGAAACAGAAGTGTTCCTCATAACAAGTGCATGGTTTTCTTTAAATCAGTATGATTATTATACAATGAGAAATTATGGGAGCCCAATAAAATTAGTACACAAATTTTCTTTCGTACATGGCTTTGATTTGATTTTCTAAATTAGGTGAACGTGAAGCCAAATACGTAGTATACTTTTTTCCCTCAATTCAAAATTGATAATTCACTGCCATTGCAGGCAAATCGATTTTCTAGCTTTCTCCATTCAATAATTGTGTATATTACTGTGTAATTTCTCGGCATTTCAAGACATCTGGACGTTTCATTCGCGCAGGCTATTTCACGACAGAATTTTAAAATACACTTACTTGTTCTGGTTGAATTTTACTGCACGATGCCTCTCCATGTACGCACATTGCGTTGTAATATTCACGCGTAAGCTGCATGGACACTTTGACACGAACGAAAAGCAGGTAGTCTTTAAGGATCGTCTTATTTCCATTAGAAGATAGACAACGATAAACAATGGCGAAGAAACGGAGATTGATATTCATGTTCTAGGTCTTTATGTTCATTCATTTATGGTGAACAATTCATGTTGAGTTTCTTAATTTTGACCAAAGAAAAGAAAAACGTCATATTAACCTCTAGATTATAAGCTCTACAGCCTATAGACATAAACCTCTCCAATGGATGAACTATGATCAAAGTATAGCGTATCATTTCTAGCATTGTCTATATACTTTTTGTACGTTATTCATTGCACAAAAGTGCTGAGAAACTACACTTGTGACGTGAATAGCCCTAAAATTTCTAAACAACTGAAGTAATCACGACTTTTGACGTTACTCCAACGATCGTAAGCACATTCATATTTTCATATTATTATATTTTAATTTCACTCATTGCCGAATTTTGGTATACATGTAGTGCTAGATCTTTCATTACATATTAGACCATATATAAATGTTTTGATAAGCCAAAGTTAATAGACACTTCCCAATTTGCATGAGTGCACACAGAACAATAGCTTGGAAACGAGGCGGGCAATATAACCTTTTGTTTGTGGGATGGTTTTCATTGCCCGAGAACAAATTCGGTCTATTCAATTTGAAAACAATTTCTTTGAAGACTTTTTTTTCGCAAGTTTTGGGAATTCTAATTAATTCTAATCCAGAAATTAGCTTCAATCCTTTAGCTAGTCCTTGTAAGAAATGAATCATAGAAGGATAATTGAGCCTAAAAATAATAATTATTCATCCTGGTCCATGGACGATGTTGAAATATATATATAGCTATGGCTTGTGTTTTCCAGTATATCAATATGCAGGAGAACAGAATGTTCAGATTGACCGGACCTGCATGTTTATTTAACTGATTACTTATTGTCTATCTAGTTTTCAAGTAAGTAGACCAGGTTTATATTAAGGTTGATCTAATATATCTTTGGATTAACTACAATGCTTACCATACAAGTTATCAAGTAAGCTGAACACTTTCACACAATTCACAAATGATATAAGCAGATGATCTTGATCTCATTACAAGTAGGACAAAGATAAACAATGGCAAAGGAACTGACATTGATATTCATGTTCTTTCTTTATGTTCATCCATTTATGTTGAACAATTTATATTGAATTTCTTGACCTAAGAATGGAAAGATTTCATATTAAGGGGCAGTTACCAGAGATTCGACGACGCGCAAGATGATTTTGAGGTATTGAGACAAACAAGCACATGCTAATAGGGATAATCAGAAGAGAAAAGGAACAACGGGTACGAACCTCGTTTAATGCCTGGTTAATCAGTGGGAAGTGGGTACAAATTCTAAGATATCGTTTTAAAACTTTTTAAAACTTAGCTTGTACACAAAACTTAGCTTGTACCGTTTTGGCGGATCTCGTATCCTGTTTAGAGAATATTGAAATGGCAAGAAGTAAAGTTTATATTTTGAAACGTGAAGAAGAACTTCAAACTTTAAAGTTTATAACTCCGGCGTCAACGACGGGGTTGAAAATTCGCCTCGGTTTTGTTTTGTTTTTGTTCTTTAATTTTTTTTTCGTCGTAACAAAACAGTGTGCTTTGACGCGAAATCTGCTAGTGTTTAAAACGTGTCTGTGACAGTATTTATTTACGTCACAGTTTTGTCTCCCAAGAGTTGTGGTGCACATTCTATATTTTGCTCGCATGATACGGCAATTCATCCAAAAGGAACAAATAAACCGTTCTTTTGATGCTGTTTGATTAAGTTTAGATTTAATTGGGGTCAGAATATATTTAATCACAGTTAATAGAATGTACATGGTTTGGAGACTAAATAAAAGTACAATACAACTCATTAACTATGTTATTGTTCAGGTTATATGCAAAAAAAAGGTTCCTTTCTCGTCACGTGTCTATTGTATTTTACTGCCAAATGATTTACCAATGGCATTCGTCTTGCTCAGCTCCTCTGCCATGACTTGAATCATATGTTAATTAAAAGACTGCTATTGGTTTATGTGTGCAAAGTACAATAGACATGTGATGAAAAAGGAACAATTTTTTGCATAAATCTACCTCAACATAGTTAATGAGTTCTACAGTATAAGCACGAATTCCAAAGGCAAAGTGTAAGACAAAGGGAATGTATCATGCAGTTTATTTACATTTTTGAACAATTGAACTTCTATACTTTTTAAAGTACGATGTGCTTCTGAATTTCGCGATCGAACAACATTTAGGTTCGCAAGGCATCTAAAGGAGTATGAACTGTATTGTTTATGTCAGGAGCTTTATACCGAAGACTGGCACGTGCCCGGCACGCCGGAGTTAACGCCAGAACGGGCGTCTTGTTTTATATTATTTTTGTTTTCGACCCTTGCGATGAAATGTCAAGTTTATGCCTGGCCTGGCCTGGCCTGGGCCTTTTGTTATCAATTAGCATCAACATGATTTTCAGGCGTATATAATTGTTAACGTTGCATGTTTCATTATAAGCTCAGCATATATAGTGTCCCACAAAAAGATTTGTTCAATCAAAAATTTTCTTAAATTTCTCTCGCGTAAAACAGCAAACCTGTTAAAATGGCAAAGCTTTTTGAAATACTCATTTTGACCTAACATATAAACGATCTTATAATTATATTGAGTGTTGTGTGACCCTGTCTATATACGTAAGTTGTGCGGCAAAATACAACAATATATAGTTAATTTTTCTAAAGCACGTTGATGACAACATTGAAGATGCTTTCAATAATTCACGTGGCTATATAGGATGGGATAGAGGTTGGATTCTACATTGGTAAAAAGTTAATTAAGAGTGCTTTTGACTTCATACAAGTAGAGATTCTAACAAAATCCCTAAAATCCATCACAATCTGAAGAAAAATTTAAGCTGAACGTCCACAATATTAATGCAAAATGTACCTTTAATATGAAAAAGGTTAACTAGAGATGAAACTAATAATATCTCAAAACTGAGGCTATAATGTGTTGTTACATTAACTGTATTATAGTACTAAGTTTTTTGCAACATCAAAGTAAAACAGAATTACAGAAAAACTAGATCAGCTTAGGAGTATAAAAGTTTGTTGCTTTACGTCGTGTTCCTTTAGGCTATATAAATAAAGTGGCAAATAAGCAAAGTTTTAAGGAGTAAGAAATCAAGCTTTTTGGTAGGCAAACTTTCCGGGTGATACGTCATCAAGGGAAGGTTTTTCCTGAGAAAGCTTGTTTGATTTTTTCTTGACCACTCGAAGAAGACAGTAAATCAACACAGCGATGGCAACGAGCATACATCCAATGACGCTCAGTGAAGATATAAGAATGATGTTGGTGTGATCATCTTGACGAACTACTTGACTCACAGTCCCAGCTTTGTTCACATCACCACCAAGATTTGGAAAGACACGTTTAACAACCAAGACATACTTTTTATTCAAGTGTTCATCAACAAATTCATTGACTGTCTTCTCAAACTTCTCACATTTACTTTCACGGGCGCATTTCAACATTTCTGTACACATGCCAGGGAGCATGTCCGCCCATTTAGGAACTTTTGCTGCATCGCTATCATGGAAAGCATCACTAAGGTACCAGAAGTACCCTGTGCGACTCGTCACGCGACGTATTGCTGCGATGAGAACGAGATATTCACTCCATGCCAGTTCATGGGGACAAAATGTTGTACTGAGTGGTGTAAACGGGAGACCAGCTGCGTTGACAGCAGCATCGCATTCTGTAGCGAGTGTGTATAACTGTGTACTAACGGCCAGACCTTTATCTCCGTGGGGACGTACTTCCTGACCATCAACAACCATATGTTCCTTTGTAAAACCATTGTAGGTGGTGAAGTTTTGGGCGCTTTCTCTGGGGTAGACTGCGTCAACTCTGCACCAACCAGGGGTCTTCTCTGCTCCTCTGAGTCCACGAATAATGTCACCAGCAGATAGTTCAGACACAGAAACGATTCCTTTCTTTAATTCTTCAATCTTCATGTCGCTCGAGACACAATTAGTGTTGCAGCAGTTGCTTCCACTACAGCTGCAATCACCAAATGTTCCAGGCAAAATGACAAACATGAACACTAGAGCAATCACTGAACGAGTCATGGCACGGAGGTTTCGAAGTTGAACCCTGTTAATAAATTAGTTAAATTTGAGCAAGAGTAATCTATTGTGTGAGAAACGAGAACGAAAACTCTGATTGGGTTGCCTCGAATAAAAGGTCCTCGGCTAACATTCGAGGCCGGTTTGAAAATAAAATTCCTTTTATTGAAACGTTGATGCCATTATGCCAATGTCGATCAACGGTGAAATAGTGTTTACATGCATGTGTAGTATCTTTAGAGTGCAAATGTTAAAAACTCAACTAAACGATTAAACTTTTAAGGAATGTCATTATAGTTGCCTCATCTTACCTTGAAACACAGAAACAGTCTTTATTTCCTTTTTAACCAAAAGCAACACCTCACACGAGTTGTCGTCCTAATCTGTCTTTAAACAACAATATTCAAAAATTTATATAGTCCCATGCAACCTTATTCCCCGCCTTCCTCTGGTATTGTACTCCCTCACAGGAACACGAAATTATTTAGATTAAATTGTAGATAAAGAATACGCAATCTTTTTATCTTATCTGATCATCAAAACAATGCGGAAATATGAAACAGACTTGTAAATGACATAGAACGGAATTTGCTTGTCACTGGCGACGGCCGCTTTTATATTGTTCAAGTATCATTTGCCTACAAAATTAAAGGTTTCTTAAAGTCTTTTCTCTATCGTACATCTTAACGACACCTCGAACTCTCCATGATGTTGTGAAAAGCTTGGACAAAGGTTGCACGCAACACATATCCGAGTAAAGTCGCAAGAAATAGCAATGATGCAAAAAAACCGAATTTGTTGTGATTCAATTCTAATTCGTGCAATGCTTTCTACAACAAAAAAAAACACCGAGACTCAAATATTTAGACTCGTTATACATAAATGAAACAAAACATATATAAATCGGGATCTGGAAATCGCATGCACTGTTTCTGCCGCAGATTGTATATTCGGCGGCCCATGCAGTATTTTTCTGCCTATTATTAATTATTTAAAGTGGCTCATGTTCAACATGCTACATGGTTTCCGTAGATATCCGTTATAATTTTTGATGATTTTGTTGAAAGACAATAGAGATATTACGATTCACGACGTGGCTATAGGGAAGATGCGTTAGAAAGACTTGGTGAAAAGCGCGGCCAACGCGTCTTCTTACGATTCCACGACGGAATTTTGTTAATTTTACGTTGTGATCACTACGCTACAAACTTCAAGTGAATATCGAATTAAGCCTTTCTAACACGTCTTCTCTAGCCGCGTCGTGAATCGTAAATTCTCTAACCGAGACATTTCCACACGCGGCGCTTGGGTATTGCGTGAATAGATTTGATTTGCTAATTTGCAGCGCGGGAAAAGTTCGCACAAGCAAAATATTCAGTTATTGAAAACAGTACACCCCACTAAGCCTAACAATGGGTATCACGACAATAACAGATGAAACCTTGGACAATATGATTGTGTATAATCTGAGAAACTTTCTCCTAGACAGCGAAATAACAGAAATGAACTACCAAAAGGCAGATTTGGTTGTGTTTGCAAATCCGTAACAAATGAGGGCAAGGAATTTCACAAAGTTTGCTTCGTCATTGACCCAAAGTTGTTATTGTAGAAACCATTTCCGCAATAAATAATCTTTATTTTTGTCGGTCAAATTGAACTAGAAATTTGTAAATTGCGCAAAAAATAAAATAAAAATAATATAGCTAAGACCCCATATACTACTACAAGATGGACTTTAATAGGACTTGGTTTATTAATTTTCAGTATATACATGTTTGGAATAAACGTTAAAAAGATTGTTCTGTGAATTAGCGATGAAGTATGGGAAAATACACTCATATGACTTCACATTCCAAATTAGTTCCATGTGGATTATTATCGGACATTCCTGGGTAATTATAATTACCAAATTATTTTTAAATGCTGCAAAGGCCCACACACTGAGCGCTATTCGCCAACGGGCAAATTCTCCGATATTTTGGGAGGAATTATATTCAATTCTGGTAGGAAATTTTCAGAGCTATGGTCCCTATATAGACATGTCAAATGTGCTATCCTTAGATGATTTTGGATAATATAATAACACATTCAAACTGAGGGGCTAGGACTGTTTTCCACTGTCGCATGGAGTTACTACGTGGAGAACGAAAGAGTTAGTTTAAAATAATTTAATCAAGGATTGAATAAATGCTTAGGGTTTGATACTGTTGATGATTTGGTGTGTTTTTTCATGCAAAATTAATTACACAACAACTTAAAAGGTTTTAAATTAAACTTTATGAGCAATTGTGCATGTAACATTATTCCACCTACGATCGAATTTGAATCATTTCAGTTTCTTCAGGAAGTTTAAATACCAGCTAAAGGAAATATTGTAGCAGAACGATATAAACTTCTAGGCGTTGAAATTTCAACCTCTCGCAATAAATTAAACTCGTGTTTCGTATAGCGTTCACCATATGCAACCCCGATGAAAACGACATTGAAGCATATGTATATATTGAAAATGTCGTCTTAATTTCCGCATACTTCCATATATCTAATAGTTGTAAACACACGCAAATCTCGAAGCGACACTGCATGCGATTGGCTCATACATGAGTCACGATCAAATTTGAATAATTCCAGTTTCCTCAGGAAGTTTTTATACCAGGAAAAGGAAATATAGTAGCAGAACGATATGAACCTCCAGATGTTTAAATATCAACCTCTCGCAATAAATTAAGCTCGTGTTTCGTATAGCGTTCACTATATTTCAACCCTGATGAAAACGACATTGAAGCATATGTGTATTGAAAATGTCGTCTAAATTTCCGCATACTTCCATATATCTAATAGTTGTAAACACACGCAAATCTCGGAGTGACACTGCAATGCGATTGGCTCATACATGTGACCCTGGGTACGAGGTTGACATAAGTCACGAATGCCGAGCTGTAGTGTCTAGCTGTCTGATATCCACAAGGGGCCGGTTGTATAAAGCCCGTTTAGCTTAAACGGTGGATAAGTTCAAAACAGAAAGCAAGTCTGTGGTTTTATTTAACAGGCAAACTAAATGTTTTTCACCTTAATACAAAGATACTGTTTAAAACTACATAATTATTCAGAGCATAATATTCACATTGACTCATTCAAGAGAGTGGTAAGAGTGTTATTTGATTTTGACTTATCCATCGTTTAAGCTAAACGGGCTTTATACAACCGGCCCAAGGTGTAAAAAAAAGCACTTTACAGGTTACAACACTTAAAATAAGGCTCATCTATGCAGGTCTCAACACAACATTATTATTAAATGTCGCTTAACTGCTCATAGAACATTTCTTTCAGCCATGCAGCAGCTAGTGGTATATATTTTAAGTAATATAAATTGATCTTTCCATACATGAAGGACCAATTTTTACTTAAATATTCGTCTTAGAGAAGAAGTTACCAGAATGCAAGGGAATGCACTATCAAAAACAACTCTTTTAAAACTGAACCTTGATTTAAATTGTCATAGGTGGAAAAATGTCAGTAAAAGCATGGACGAAATTCTAACTTCACATCACACGCAGTGCAATCTTTTCAAATTCTTTTAAGTTACATATATTTTTTGGTTCCCTCCCATTAGATCCTCCTGTTATAAAGGTGTTACTCTGAAGGAGCACAATTTGATTTTTTTTAGTATTGACTGGATGTATCCTGAAACTAAAAAAGTACGATGTGTCAGGTCTGGTCGGATATTACCTTGCATGATTTTCTTTTTATTATATATTTTTGGTATGCCAGGTCCATTTGTCTGCCAGTGTAACAAATCATCTAATTTTAAAATTGCAAGAGGTGCTTATACTGAATATATATATATATATATATATATCACTCATTACGAGTGCCTAGGCCTTGGGACCCTAGGAGGCGGTTTAAAAGGAGAAAGGAACACACGCACAACCCAAGCCATACGTCCATTCAAAGCGTTAATCAGCTGAATGTGAGAGATCGATTTTACGTATTTATCAGTGCGAATGTACATTCTTAACATATCAAATGTCCAAGTGCCACACAACTCATCTCATCGTCGTCATTAACATTCTTACAATGCAGGAAATAAGTATAGTTAAAAAATACGTAGGTATCCGCGCCAAGTACTTTGGTTAAAAAAAAAAGTTGTCCGCAGATAGATAGATAGTTAGATACTCGAAGTCTAATTAGAATTGCATATGACTACATTTGCATGGGATTTCTATAATATTACACAACATGTGCAATTCTAATTAGATTTCGAGTATCTATCTATATATCTACCTGCGGCCAACGTTTTTGCAAATGGGTGTATATGGGTGTATTTCACCGTCGGTTAATTCACTCTAGCAAAACGAAAGTCATTGTCAATTATTTTCAGTATTCTGTTTCAAATCTTTACTACCAGCCTTACGATTTTTTACGGCGTTGGGTGCTGCAACCCTTCGATTGATGTTATGTGGGTGACCAAACCTAAGCAGTTAAGGGCATCGAGTGCAGTTTGTTGGTTAACAGGAAAACAATAAAGAATACGCATTATTTTATTACCTCATCGCCAGTATTTCCTGTATCCTCAATACTGTTCATTCCAGGAATTATTATAACATCTGAATCACGAGAGATTGCCTTCTCACTGATCACTAATGGATCATTCGTAGATTCCTGTTTCAATCGCAAAGCACTTTCAAAGTCAGACCGAGGCTTCTCGAGACATGAAGACGCAGCGGCACTCAATACCTGGGTGGGGTCAGCCTCAGCACCCGGCACGTCGGAAACGTTTATCTCTTGCACACTGAGATTGGTCTGACTACAGGATTGAACACAGTCATTGCCACTGAGGCCATCGACGGATCTCATCTCGCCGGTAATTTTCGTTTCACTTTCAACTGTCGGTAATTCAGTTTGTTCTCCCTCACGGCAAAGTGCAACGATAAGTTCAGGAGTGGTCAGCTACGAAAGTTGGTGATCAGTTTCATTGTCCAGCTTTCCAGCATGAGGACATTCGCTTTCTGCATTAATAAATTCATCGTCACAACTTTCATTACAGAAGCCAACTTTCATTACAGAAGAGGTTAATCAGGGAGACTTTTATTTCTTCGTCAAGAGATTTCGTTTCATTCTCTCCCTTGTCATTCTCACGAGGATCTTCGGAACCTTTTTCAAAATAAATAAAATATATTTTAACATACGACCACGGATACGACACAATTAGCGTTTCTCACGATGACATTTTCGGGTTTAATTTTCTGAAATAGGTTTAAAAAATTATGATTTAACATGAAAAGGAATTTTTTTAGAATCAACAGACCATTTGAAGAATAACACTGTGACCATTAGGAAGTCTCACGCTTGCGGTTTTGAAAAAAAGGCGAACTCACTTGGCGAATGAAATTGATGGCGTGAAAGTTAGCGTTAGCGCGCGCGAGTCAATGGCGCGAGTTTACTGGCGGCGCAAATAGCGAATTGGTGAGGTAGTTGTTAGGCAATTAATTATTGCTAGGCAACAACTTTGTTTGCATAAAAACTTTCTTCAAATGAATTTGCGTAAAATAAACGCCGTAAATCATCGCAAATCTGCAAATTAAATTATTAAAATATTTAGAAATTTATTTTTATACCTTCTCCCTGGTCTTTTTTTCCAATATCTTGGAGTTTGTTGCAGTTTTTCACTTCCTCTTCGATCAAGATTTTCTTAGCATTGTTAATCAAAGAGAAGACGTAGTTTTGTATTTGTAGAAATTCTAGAAGAGGTGGCTGATACTTTCTTCCAGAGTATTTATCCAACCGATATCGATTTTGATTACTCGCCATTTTAAAAGAATTTTCACGCGTAAAAAGTAGTGTTTTCACTTGCGCAGTCAGTCAATTATGACAAAGCTAATTATTGCGTCAAATCTTTTGACGCCATCGCGTCCGCGCAAAGCATTGTAGTAATTAATGATCGCACTGACCGCAAAGGGATATAAAAAGAGGCATTTTATTTATTTTTGACTATTCCACATTGCTAAACAGCATTTCTTAATACCTGATTTGAAAACAATTTTCTTCAGTGAACTAAACCCAACTTGAATTTTTCGTATTTGCATCAATCTAGGTAGGATGTGCATGGTAGATACAAAATTACTGACCCAAATGTTTGAGGCAAAACTAGCAATTCAACCAAGGCAAAATTTCCTAATCCCCTTGTTCCAAGATCTTTTTAAATGCATCAGAAAAAGACTTTGGGAAAGATCAACAGGATTTTCCTCAATATGCAATTTTGCAATCGCTTTTTGGCAATGATGAATGGACGTAGAAGCAGCAACAAACGTCTCTCTGAGGTTCGTAGGAAACACACAATTCACGGTCGTCAGTAAGACACAATGGCGTTGGATTGTAGAATCAACTGGAAGGGCCGAATTCCATGATGGGAGTCGTGTTGTGTGAAGGTATGAATTTCTTTTTACATTCGTGTTAACCAGCGAATGTTATTTCGTTGCCTCATTGTTGCCAGTTAACAATATTAGTGCCAACAAAAACGTGTTATTCACTATTCTTTGTGTATATTACTATCATTATCATATTATCATTCTTTGGGTATAATTACCATTGTGTTCAGAAAATCAATGATAAAAGAAATGGCAAAACTATTTCTCGTCAGGATAATGGTTAGTATCGGTATAGCTAACGATAAG